AAGATAGCTATTGGTGATGTGACACATACGCATGTAATAGGTTAAACCTTTTCTATTTAATCTACCAACCCCTGCTGCCTCATGATGCATTGCTTTGGTATTAGCTCACTTAGAGGCTCCACGTTTTATATTATGACTTTAAACAAGGCAGAAATTGATGATTGGTCTGTACGTTATGTGCAGGTTTCCCAGTGTACAGTCACGTTCCACTGAGGAAAGCAGTGTTAGAATCTGTGGCCAGGTGTCCGCACTATAAAAGGCCATATGGGTGTGGGTGGACATGTAGGTGGCACTTTGAAATTTCTTAGTATATTCAAGAACTTAAGATGTCGATGGCGTAAATCCCTATGCTTTCTGATTTGACTCTCTTGGTACCTGAGTTTAACTGGCACTGCTCCACCGCTTCCAGGACTTCAGCGATTTTTTTGATGACAGGCAGGTTGAGGGTGACTTACTCCGGTAACTGGCCCAGGAGCAGTGCTTGGCTGTGTGATGCGTAATCACGTGGGCTGACCTCTGAGCAGTCAGGAGCTGAGGAATAGTGTCGGGGCAACATGCGAGGGAGAAAAGCGGAAAAGATACTGGCGTAGATGGTTCTTCCTGCAGGGTCTTACTGCTCCCAGAAGAGCTGGATGCCATCGGGAAAGATTTATTGTCGTGCACAGGAGAGGATGCTGGGTGGGGTATCAGGAAGGGGAGGAAGCACGCGGTGGCCCCATGTGAAGAGAATGCTGGCAGGGTTTGGGTTTTTTACTTAGTGAGAACCCTGGTGTGGGATACTTGAAAACAATCTTATTAGGACATTAGCTTATTTTAAGCTCTAGAGCAGCGGTCCCCAATCTTTTTAGTACCAGGGACCGGTGCTCCTATGAGAATCTGATGCCCAATGATCTGAGGCAAAGCTGAGGCTGTGATGCTGGCGCTGGGGAGCAGCTGCAAATACAGGTGAAGCTTTGCTCGCTCACCCACTGCTCACCTCCTGCTGTGCGGCCTGGTTCCTAACAGGCCATGGACTAGTACTGGTCCGTGGCCTGGAGGTTGGGGACCCCCACTCTAGAGCAATGAGGAATTACAGTAATGGCAGTAAAAATTAATTAAAAAGGAGACTAGGTTTTTTGTTAGAAATGATAGAATTAAGGTTCTCTTAATAGTTAAAATGTCCTTTTTTTGCAAGATCTCTACGTGGGACAGGGCAAGTTGCATACCGCTGGTAGAAAGGAGATGCGAATAGTAGTTGGTATGCCGTAAGACTTTTCTGGAACACGTGGACTAGCGTACTGCTGGACTAAATTCAACTTGCATTTTTATTAGGTTCTTGGATTATGAGAAGGAGTTTCCTTAGCATTGAAATGGAAAGAACCCTCAAGTCTCTAAATGGCAACAATGTAATTCAAAACTTGAATTTGAATTTCTGTTTTCCAGTAATGGTAGAGCAGGTTACCCTAACCAAGCCTACCGAAAATAAGTAAGACCGTTGAATAAAATATTTAAAAAAATATTTTTAAGAGCACTGAAGAGAAGACAAGTGTGAGAGTCTCAGGTAAAGCCGAAGGGAGAGCGGGAACCCAGGAACCAAGGGGAGGACTGGGACAGTGTCGCCACTTTGTGCTGGGGCATTTGCTGGGGGCCTTAAAGAGCCACAGCCTCAGGGTGAGACTGAACCGGAAGTAAAACAAGCTTCCGGTGGGCTTGAAGCCTGAGTTCTCCTCTCCTGTATGGTCCAGGAGCAAATTCAGAAGCATCTCTCAGAAGCAAATTCAGATGTTCTTCGTAGGAAGACACTTTGAGTGCAAATAATGAGTTCACTGATGCAAATAATAAAACACAGGAGAAAAGATCTCTCAGGCAATTAGTACAAAATAAGACACTAGAAATAAACTACAAAGGTTGAAGATATGGGAATAACCAGGTGTAAGGTATGAAAGAACCATGCTGACTGTGTTTTAGAAAATAGACAGTAAGCCTAAGGATATCTGTAGGAGAGAATAGTAAACTATAAAATGCAGCATAGCAGATGTAAGAAATAGCTAAATAGAAATTGCGGAAATGAAAAATATAATAACTGGAAAATATAACAACTGGAAATTAAGTATAATAACTGGAAAAATGAAACAACTACAAAATTTCTGATAATGAAAAATTCCAAGAAAGGGTTGAACAGTATATTAGATAATTCTAGAATTCTAGAAGGAATTTGTGAAGCAAAAGATAGGTAAGAAGAAATTATCTAGAACAGAGATCAACAAACCTTTTTTCTATAAAAGGCCAGATAGTAAATATTATAGGTTTTGTAGGTCTTCTGAGGCCTTTGTGACATATTCTTTGTTCTCATTATCTATCTATCTATCTATCTATCTATCTATCTATCTATCTATCTATTTACCTATTTATTCATTCATTCATTCATTTATTTGTTACAAACCTTTAAAAGTGTAAAAAGAAAAATTCTTAGATTACAGGCCATACAAAAAACAGGCCATAGGATGGATTTTGCCCATGGGCCACAGTTTCTTGACTTTAGTCTAGAATACAGTGTAGAGAGGAATAAGGAGAGAAAATCTAGGAGAGAGGC